TCAATTTGCATATTTCATCACATATTCTTATTACATCCATTCATAAAATCTAATTTAATACAATCATTGTATAAAATTAGTTTTCCCCTTAAAAAATTCAATTTTTGTAACAGGCTTGTCAAAGTCTGGAATATCTTACCCGTTTCAGCTACTAACTTTCACAGTTTTAATACCAACTTAACTTTTGTGGACCTCATCCCATATTTAAGAGGTTCGTGTAGCGGGTGTGCGGAAGTGCAGTGAAGTGCCTATCAGCCCTGTCACATTTTAGGTTTTCATTTTGTTCCTTCAAATGTGTAACTTTTGTTTGACAAATAAATGAATAACGTCCAACATATTTCCTCTTGCATCCTCCTCTTGAGTATTCTTCTATTCGGATACCATCTGATGCAGCCCAGAAAATAAGTTTTAGCACATAAGATAAACTTCAGTGGGAGTTTTAAGTATTAGTTTGCCATTATGATTTTTTTCTCTCCATTCCAACCCATCCCCTTTTACTGTAGTTTTGATAAGCATTTTTTCCAGTTCATTTCACCTGCTAATGAGGAAGGAGCAGCGGTGCATAGAAAGACAAAACAACCACAGACATTGAACGGAGCTTCTCCTGTCACATAGGAGTGGTGACAGTTATAGTATCATTCAATCATTGCCAAAAGCTAAGGAGACCACTGGTGACAACTTCGAGTAATCTTTGCAGCTGGCCTCTCACGCATCTACCATGGCCAAAAAGTTAACAGAATAACAGAGTTGGAAGGGACCTTGGAGATCTTCTAGTCTGACCCCTTTCTTAAGCTAGAGACTCCAGACAAATGGCTGTCCAGTCTCTTCTTAAAGCGATGGAGCATCCGCAACTTTTGGAAATAAACAGTCCCACTGAATTGTTTTCACTGCCAGAAAATTTCTCCTTAGTTCTAGGTTGGAGGTCTGTTTGAGAAGGTTCCATCTGTTACTTCTTCTTGTGCCTGTTGTGACCTAGGCGTCCCCGGCAAAACACCTTTTATTAAATGAAGGTGAATTTTTTGCATTCACCTTCAGCCTAAGGCCTGGCAAACAGTCTTTCAAGGGTGTAGTTGGGAGCACAGATCTTATCTAGCTTGGAGAGCTGCCAAGTAAATATCTTCCAAATGCAGTGCTGACAAGGAAGGACACAGCACAGAGTCTCTGAGATGCACAGGCAGATCTTCACAATGATGCAACGGACAAATTGTTTTCTGCAAAAGCCCCCTCTCCTTTTGCTCCTCTTTTAATCCCTATGGGGGGGGGGCATTCATCGTCCACCTGTGGCTTTACTCCCAAGTCGACCCTTGTTCCTTAGCTGTTCCCTTCTCCTGGCAGCTCTGTGCATGCGCAGGCCTGGAACCGGCTCCAGCTGCTCCCCCGCCTCACTGCTGTCCGACTCCGAAGGCAGATGACAACTGTCAGATTGCCCTGGCTCCATCTCTGCCTCTAATGCAGAGCCCTCATCCGAGCCTTCCTCAGCCTCCAGGACTGGCCCAGGTTCCTCCCCAACCTCCTCACTGTCCAACTCTGCTGCCAGCTCCACTAGCCGCCGGCGGGCCACAGCAGTGTCCTTAGGTGCTCTGGAGAATAGGTTGACCCCTGTCCTCTCTGTGACAGCCCTTCAAATGTTGAAAGACTTCTATCATGTCACCCTGGTGGGATTCAATTTTTTTTACTACTGGTTCTGTGGACATGGCTTGGTGGGCATGGTGTGGCTTGGTGGGTGTGGCAGGGGAAGGGTACTATAAAATCCCCATTCCCTCCCCACCCCACTAACCTGCTTTCCAGCTCCATTTTCCTGTGCAGGGCAACCAAAGAAGACCCAGCCGATCAGCTGGGATTCGGGAGGCAGAGAATAGATGGGGGTGGGGCCAGTCAGAGGTAGTATTTGCCGGTTCTCTGAACAACAATTTCTGCTCCTGGTTCTCCAGAACTGGTCAGAACCTGCTGAATACCACCTCTGCCTTAGTCCTTCTCTGCCAAACTAGACATCCCCAGTTCCTCATTCCTTGCATGTTTACCCTCTTGTCCCCTAGTTATCCCATGCTAACTTTTAAAAACTCTTCTGCCAAGAATGAAAGAAAGCAGTGGACAATGTTTGTGGCTGAGGACCACTCATAGACCAACTCTGCCTGTTGAAATAAAAGGAAGACATCCTGACTTTCTTCTGTGATCCAGGTTGGGAAGGAAGATGGACAGAGGAAGGGTCAAAAGAGAAGGAAGAAAGGGAGGGAAGGTTCTACCTTGGCCTTTGTTTCTACTAAAAGAAATCCAAGAAGTAAAAAATAATAGCTAATGGTTTTTCCCACGCTCATTCTCTTTAATGCCTTTTTTAGAAGTATTAAAAATATGCCTGCACCATTTTGCCCATTTCCCCATTTAACCCAAATTGATTTGTTATCCTATTCTTAATGGAGCTTGAAATTAACACTACTCTATTTACTCCCTTGTTCATGTATCTAACTTCATGAGGTGTGTGTGTGTGTATCTACTATCACAGTGTATATAAAAAGCATAATCTTTATTATGAATGGGCAACAGCTTGCTGTATCTTGGAAGCAATGGAAATCAGTTGATCCATACCCAAAGTGTTTAATAACTCCTCTACTTCATCCCCCAAAAGGCAGAACCTGCTCATCATGTGAGATTTTCCATCGTTTTTGCAACATTTAAAGGGGTAAGTAACAGGGGTGGGATTCAAATTCTTTAACAACCGGTTCTGTGGGCATGGCTTAGGTGGTGGGTGTGACTTGGTGGTCATGTGACTGGGTGGACATGGCTGGGTGGTCATGTTATTGGCTGGGTGTGGCCAACTCAATATCACTCACATCGAGGCATGCATCTCCTCGCCTGGCCTCTCATGACTGTGGGGATGCTGCAACAGTCGTAAGTGTGAAAAATGGTCATAAGTCACTTTTTTCAGTGCCATTGTAACTTTGAATGGTCACTCCACACAAGCAAAGTACCAGCAAAGGAGGGAAAAATAACTCCAGAGAAGTTCCAGAGACAGGAAGTCTAGTCCTGCCAAGAATGTAATAAGGGTTAACGGAGAGGCAGTTTCTGTAAGCAACACCAGAATGTTTCCTTCCTGCCTTCCTTACAGGATTAGCCCTGTAATTTCTTCTAACAACCGGTTCTCCAAACTGCTTAGAATGTTAACAACCGGTTCTAGTGAATAGGTGCGAACTGGTAGAATCCCACCCCTGCTAAGTAAGCAAATAATAGATTCAGAAAGCAGAGCCCTTCAGAGGGGGAAAAACCCCTCATGGCTTTACGAAGTGAAGAGCTGGTGTCAAACAGGATGTAAGGAAATAGGCTAACTAAACTTGGTTTAATAGCTTCAACTCTCATAGCCTCATCCAGAGGTTACTGCTTGACCATCCCAAAGATGCTTTTTTCCAAGAGGCAACTGAACTTTCTGGATTTTTCTTTGAAGGCATTTCGCTTCTCATCCAAAAAGCTTCTTCAGCTCTGACTGGATGGTGAGGAATGTAAGGAGTTATATTCCTTGCAGACAGTTGGGTCATTTTATGCTCCACACCCATTTGCACCAATCAGGTGACCCTGAGGACACAGATAAACCTCCAAGTGGCCTCAATGACCCTCTAAAAAGGATGCAATTGACCAGCTGTCTGCAAGGAATATAAATCTTTCTATTCCCCACCGTCAAGTCAGAGCTGAAGAAGCTTCTTGGATGAGAAGCAAAACGTCTTCAAAGAAAAATCCAGAAAGTCCAGTTGCCTCTTGAAAAAACACCTTTGGGAGAATCAGGACCTGGACAACAGAGAACCTCCATAGACGGTGGCTTGACTGATTCTCATTAGGTCCTCCAACACTAACTGCTTCAGTTCTCATCAGGATGAGCTACCAAAAGAGATGAGATTCCTGTTTGTGTTTAGGCTAGAGCTGATATATTTTTCTTTTCTATCGTTGGATGGGATTTACAACAGACATGTATCTCTGTGAAACAGACTCTAGCCAACATTCCCCTTCCTGTTATTAATCTCTTCCAACAACAGAGAAGCTTCGCTGATCACCGAGATGACTTGGCCATTACAGGATAATTTTATAATGTTAAAGAGTGTGTTTTTGTTCTCAGTGGGTGATATTTTTGCCCTATTTTGTTTTCAGAATATGGACCATCCCACAAGGCTCAAAGTGGTGTGTGTGTGTGTGTGTGTGTGTGTGTGATGGTGGTGCTTTTCTAGCCAAAACATAATCTCTACTCATTCCTGGACTTTGAACAAGAGGGGATAGTTTGCTGTTTGTTAAATTTGTTCTTAATTAAGTGCAGTGACCTGAGTTTTTCTTCCAGTCCATTACA